TTCAGATAATTTGTAAATGTCTTTTCTTGGGTGTTGGGAGAATGAATGATTGATGGGGCCAAGAAGTAAAATAATTTCAGATGCTGTAACCTTTTTGTATGTAGGAGTTTTTCCAGCATTCTAGTTGCCCTTTCCTGCACTTTTCCTAACTCTACAATATACTTTTTTAAGTGCAGAGATTAGATCTTACATAGCATCGTACATATGGATGCACCATAGAGTTGTATAACGGCAGTATGATATTGGTGGCTTTATTCACAATCCCTTCCCTAATGATCCTTGCAGCCAACCAAAGCAGTTGAAGTACATACGGGGTTTTCCCCAAATAGTGTCTCATTATGGAGACACAAGTTACTGATGGGCTCCTGTTAGGATTTACCTTGCATCCTTTGCAGATCAATTCAGTAATAACTTTCAAAAATGTGAGAAAGATACAGAATCATTCTCAACAAAGTTATTCCACAAATTTCTTTTTTCTTATTCTCATTGGGGTTTTGAATGTTTGTTCATTGTGGACTAAAGATCATACTGTGAAGTTGGATGTTTCTTTTAGGATTCTGTGATCCAGAACACACCGTCATAGTCCATTCCTGGCATGGTGGGAATCATTTCAGTAAAGAGTATGTCTTATTTAACCCCTTTGCAGTTCTTAGTCAGCCAAATTTATTTTCTCAAATTTTGTTAAATGAAAATAGTAAAGGGAATTGAGAGATTGGCAGATACACGTTTATCTGTCTTTGTTTTGCTTTGATGTTTTATTTACATTATGTGCTTTTACCATCTCAACTTCCAGTGAGATTTTCAATTAAAAAAGAAAAATAAGCACAACCTTTTAGCATTAGAACAATACAATATTGACAAAATATTTAAAAATCAAACAGCAGTAAAAGCAACAATACAAAGTATGAGCATGAAAGCAGAGAAATAATCCATTAAAATCATGCAAGAATAAAATTGTATTTACCTGGCACAGTGCTAATTAACAGTCTGGATTCCATATTCCAAGTAATTTTCAAGGGCAGCAGCATGTACAATAGATATTAGTAGTCACTTTTCGATGTCACTTTCTTTCTCCTGCTTTGAAGTCTACAGGTATCTATTTGGTAATATTGTGCAGCTCTGCACTTTTCTGTTGTTCCAGTTTAATCATTAGTCTTTGCCCATTCTCTATTCCTCCCATCTACTTTTAATTAGTATATACTATGACTATCTGGCATCTAGAGGAAAAGGTTACATCCCATAGAGAAGTTTGGTTTCTTATCATTGCAGCAACAAATAAAGAAAGCTTGCACATTTTACATGTTAAATGCATTATGCTAGAGTTTACAATACATTTCTTTATGCAAAAGAAAATTTGCATAAATTGCTGGTGTGTGTGTTATGTGCCATCATTTTTGATTTACGGTGAAACTATAAATGAAAGCCCTACAACATGTCCTTTCCATGGCAGCTCCATTCAGCAATTCCAAGTTAAAGGCTGTGGCTTCCGTTATGGGTTCAGCGCATCTCATATTTAGTCTCCCTTTTCGTCGTCTTCTTTGGACTTTCCCTAGCATGATTGTCTTCTTCAATGAGTCTTACCTTCACATGATGTGTGCAAAGTATGACAACCTCAGTTTTGTCATTTTTGCTTCTAGGAAAAGCTCCAGATTTATTTGATCTAGGGCCCACTTAGGGTTTTATAAAGTTTTACTAATATTCTGGCTGTTGCTGTTTCTACAGTTGTATAGGCTGGTTTGATTTGACTTCCTTGGATGTTTTAAATGGAGCAATTAAATTGCAGTTGTTTGTCAGCACTGAGGATAGCTTCAGCATTTGTTCAATGTGTTTCCTCCACAAGGTCTGAAAATCTGCATGCATCCTCTTTCTTTCTTTCTTTCTTTCTTTCTTTCTTTCTTTCTTTCTTTCTTTCTTGAAGCACACAGGCTCACACACTCGTTTAAAGTGCTGAAGCACCCCCATTGGTGTCCTTCAACAGAGGACTCTTGAACTAACTGTCCTTCTTTGGTTTATTTCAACTGTGTGTGAAATACTGTCAATGTTGCATTTAATTTGCTTGTCTTTTTGAAGACATTTTTCCCGGGCAAGTTGCATTTTGACGAGTGACCTTAATGGATGTCAGCAATGCAGCTTGACCTTTGTATTGGAGCCAGCAAATGCTGACTGGCATGTGATCGTATAGGTATTTGCAACAGATCTGGCTCCTTTGAGCTCTTTCAGTGAATCCTGCTATTTGTATCCTGGGCTCCTTTATATGTTCTTAGAGGTTGCTTTATGAAAAAAACCCTGATCCAGTGGACTGCATTCCTTATAGAACTCCTCTGTGTTTTTCCAAAGAGGGCATGAAGGGCATAGTACCAGGATCGAATTCAGTCCAATGCAAGGGTGATGCAAGTGTGTTGACAGGAAACTGTTAGCATGTAACAGAAGGTAGTTTATGGGGCAGAAGGAGAAAGAACCGAATAGAAGGATGATACATCCTCAAAATCCAAGAGGAACCTGAGGTCTGGCGCAAGGGGGACAGCACAAGGGGATGGACAGAGTGGCAGGAACTGACAGGGCTGAAAGCAGGAAGTTTCTGCATAGATTAAACCTGTGGGTCAGGTTTGAATTGAAGACTAGGGTGAAGTGAGAAAATCTGTACTAAAGGCAAACAACTTGCTACCGTTCGGATGCTTTGGACTACAACTCTCACAGTGGCTGATCATTGAGCATGGTGCTTGAGGATAATGGGAGTTGTAGTTCAAGACATCTGGACACCATGGTTTGCTTATCTCTTGTTTATGCAGTCCAGGATCAGCAGTGACCAATGAGTAGAGGGTGGAGAGCAGAATGATTATCTATTCAAAAAGGTTGTAGCCTTTTATTAAAAAGTATTGGTTGTACTGGCAAGAGAGGTGGCTATTCAAGCCCAGGACTGCTGGTTTTCCTAACGCTCTAGGTGCGTGTCAGAAAACTAACTGGAGCTGTCAGCAGATGGGTGGGGGTGTGCATGGCTTGTTTTTTATGCCACACATTTTATCTGGAGCACATTGACTAGGGTGAAGTTATATTTGCTTCTGGGACTATTTTATTTATTATGCATTTAGAGGCATAATATGGAATAAAGTCATTGTCTTTGTGGTCACTAGCTGGAGCAAATGCTCCTAGTGTTCTGGGACAGTGTGTGACAGTGTGTGTTAGTATATATCTTTCATTCTTGTATGAGTGTCATCTGTCCCTTCTAGTTACTACCTTGACAAATGCTGATTAGTTTGATGTGACCCATAGATGACACAATGAGGGAGGGGGAAGGATTGTGTGTGCATGTGTGTGTGTGTGTGTGTGTGTGTGTGTGTGAGAGAGAGAGAGAGAGAGAGAGAGAGAGAGAATGAGAATGAGAATGAGAATGAGAATGAGAATGAGAATGAGAATGAGAATGAGAATGACTGGCTTTAAACCTACTATTTCAAGTGCAGTTTTTATCTATGGCAGTGCTCAAATCTGCTAAGAGGGCAAATGCTGAAATGCCTAAAGCCAGGACAGCAAAAAGAAAAAAAACGTTAGAGGTGGTTGCTTCATCAAACCATTTATCCCCTGGAAATGCATGTTCACTTTTTGTATCCATTGCTTTTCTCAAACCTGCTGCTATGAGGTTGTTTTCCAGCTGTTAAGAAAAGGATGCTGGTGGCTCCCCCCACCCCCATCCTTATTGGAAGTGTCTTTTCACCTGGTTGGACTTTGTCCACAGGGCCCCTAACTGTGCAGGTCATGCTGTCTTCATGTGGGTCATTCAGTTTTCCTCGTCTTGTCTCTCCAGTTATTTCTGCTTGTTTTCATCTGCTGGGCTTTTCAATTATGTTGTTTTGCCTGGTTCATCTTTAAAGGTATATGCTAAAACTAGAATGAATATATGCACCAGCTTAGTGAGAGAAACACTACAACTGGCAAAAAATAAACAAGAAATGTGCTGAAAATTCTACTCCCAGGAAGAAAATGGGTGCCAGACTCCCATTATACTGCACACTGGACCTCAGAAGTTATGTAGGGACAGTGAAGCTGAAGTGAAAGAATAAAATAAAATTAATATAATCACTCCACGGATATAAGTAGCAATAATTCCAGCCATAAAATGGAAAACAACAGAAATCGTAGAAGCCATTAAAAACCTAGAAGAGCAGAAATTGTCTTCATTTGGCATCAGAGTTGGTGCCAACTTAGTGCTCAAGGGAAAAATACATTAGAAGTACCATAATTGAAAAAGCCCTGTATCTGTTCATTTCCCTCTTCACGTCTGGAAGTGGCAGCCTTTAATACAATTCTCAAAGACCAGGCAGGTTCATATGGAAATCAGCGGGGTCTTTCACTGATTGTGGTCTCAAGCCTTGAATTATACCACCTGAGCTGCAATGGCTTGTTGTAATTTAATGTGGACAGCTCAGCTTTAGACTTTGTCTGAAATTTCCTGACGCAGGTGACTAAGGGGATCCAGACCCCTCCTACAGGAATGCCGCTTTCCACTTGGCCTCTCCACTGAGGCAGGAAAAAGAAATGCACATTTCCTTACTCTCAGCCTTTTTTCTTCAACGGACCAAGAATGGAAGCCTTTCCACACTTGCCCTGAGTACCTACACGGCACTCCCTGTTTTACATCCAGATAAAACTATCCTGGATATCCCACACCACTTATACAGTAGAGCAGGAAAGTCCTTAGGAAGAAAGGATGCTTATTAACAGCTGGCTGGTGTTCCTTTGCTCCTTCCGTTTTTCAACGTCCTTACTGTGATTGATGTTGAGGGAGCCCATGTTTGTGCTTTAGAATAGTTTTGGTCATTGCAGGATGGGTTATCGTGTATTTTTCTGCATGACGTCCCCAGCCCATTTTCCTGCCATGCATGCCTGTCTCCTCTGGTCTTTGCATGCCTCTTGCAGCCGCTGCATTGGCACTGGGTGGGGGTGGGATGAGTTATGCTGGGTTGTGTTAACTCTTCTCTTGGTTGGCAATTGTCATTGTTTTGCAGGCAACCCACCTGGCCATGCTAAAAAAGCCCTGAAGCAGCGGTTCCTCAAGCTGCTCCCCTGCTGCCGTCAGCCCAAATCCATCCCCTCAGTCAGCGAAAGCAAGTGATGCTTTGTGCCTTTCTCTGTGTCCTCTCTGTGCTGTGACATCATAGATCCCAGGAGTGGAATGGGGGAAGTAGGAGGAAGGATTCCCTCTGTTTAGAATCACCTTCCCCAACCCAAGGCCAGCTGGGAATGACGGGTGCTGCGGTTCAGCACATCTGAAGAGCCCCAGGTTGGGGAAGGCTGGTGTGGAATTTATATTAGATATGCATATGCCACATTTCTAAAAGCAAACTTCAGCTTGAAAATATAAAGGGATTATGAGTATGCTGATGAAGTCAGGGAAAGTAAAGAATAAGGAGGACCAAATGCAAACTCTCCACTTTAAGCCGCCAATTTCACACAGTTGCTCTGTGAATGAACTTGGGCCTGAGACAGCCAAGTTGTGCAGTAGCACCCCCAGATGTGTTAGGCTGCAACTCCAATCTTCCCTAGCTAAGCAGTGACCATGCTGGCTGAGAATGATGAGAAATATTGCCATTTGGAGGCTGTTCTAAAACCTCTTAAGCCAACTGACAGTGCTGAGAACTGGTAAGAAAAGAAAGGGCAGTAAGATTTAGACTTCAGCCTGAGACCATTGGCCAGCCAGTACTCTCAGATGGCCTTGTGTTTGCTGGTCAATCAGCCAAGGTCTGTAGGCTAGAGGTGGACAGAAATTAAATTGCCAGTTATTTTGAATTTGTACCACTAGCCATTCTGGCAGGGGTATCTGAGAGCTGATGTCCAAAACATCTGGAGATCTATCTTCTGTCCATGCCTTCCACAGGCAAATCAAGTGTATCACAACACTGTGATTGATATGGGATAGAAACTTCCTTAAGGTCAGCGATAATTTTGTGACTGTGAATAATGGTTTGGTGGCATTGTGAAAGGCCACAGTCTCTTACAAAGCCTTCTGGTAATCCATGTCCTCTGATAATTTTAGTTACCTGACTGTGCTGTGTGTGAACTCCACCCTACAGCTTCCAGGCAACAGGCTTGTTTTGTGAAGCTGTGGATAACCATGCCCTTAAGGGAAAAAAGCTGGTGCATGTTTCCTTTGCTGAATTGGGGAATGAGGACTGGCCTTTCTTCATTCAGTGCAATAGGGTGTTAGAAACCTGATTCAGTGCCAGGGACTGTATTATGTCTGAAGGCAAGTGGGGGTTTGATTGCTGAACCAATTAATTTCTTATCCAAATAATCTCAGGTAAAATAAAGGGAAAGTTTTTTCCCCAGAACTTTAATTGTCATCCAGAGAGATCTAGGGGTTGCAACATGTGGGGAGGGGAGAATTAAACCTTCTCTCCCTAGCTGCAAACCCTCCTGAAAATCACCACCAGAGTGGCAATTAACCTAAGGGAAAACTACCATCCAGTGGCACCAACGGAATCTCAGAGCTCTGGGGAATGGTCCGAGGTACTGGGAAATAGAAGCAATGCCCTGTATTGCAGGGCTGGTGCAGACTGTATGCAGAAGCTCTGCTGTATCCATGGCTGGATATTTTGGGCAACATCTCTGGGAAACACAAATGGAGCAAGACATGAAGGCAGTGGCTATGATCTCCAGTCATGATCCCTACCAACCCCAGTGGTAGCACACTGTGATTTAACCTACTGCTTCCATTTAGTGATCATGGTTACTTACCCTCCACAAATTTGTCTAATCCTCCTTTAAAGCTATCGCCACATCCTGCAGCAGAAAATTCTATACCTGCAGTCACCGAAGGGTCTTGAGGAAGGGTATACATTCCACAGACTGAGATTGCTCATATTTGTCTTTGGACTTGATTGCATGTCAGTGATGGTGGGGCTGGGGTGCAGTTTTAATCAAAAATGCTGCTGCCTTGGCCAGTAGTTCTGCCACATATTGTTTGGTGGTGTTACCTGTTTGTCTCTCATATTTATCAAGAATGGGCCTATCGCTAGCTGCCTTTGCCTGCTTGGCAACCAACAAGTGATCAGAAACTTAAACTAAAAGGGCTGCATGTTCTTCACTGCCTAGAGCACTTGGTAAGAGCTTGAATCTGATCACACAGGCACAGCCAAGGTCAGTTTTAGCAGAGACCTGGCTAAAACTGAAGCATCCTTTGGGTCATTTAGGCTTCTGGAATTGGAAGCAGTATTAATGGTTTTGTTGCCTGTTATAAGTTAATAGATACTACAAACATACAAGAAGTCTAAAGTATGCAATCATAGCCAAAGGAATCTAAACTCAGAAGCTAAACTTTTCACTGCTCAGGGAAGTGGGGAGTGCCTAACATGATTCACTCACTCTGTTCACAGAAGCCCAGATAAAGCAGTCTTGATCTGCAGCTCCTATCCAAACCTGGCTGAAATGCAGTGTTTATTACTGCCTTCCTCACCTTGGTACAATATGGATTTTGGTTAAGAGACATTCCAAAAGCAAGGCCCTATGCTTAATGGAGCTAGGCTCCGGACCTCCTCCAGGACAGCAAGGAGCCATTAAGGCAATGGGTTTCTGGCTGCAATATAGATGTGCGGTTCCACAACTCCAGGTGTACATGCATATGCCTTTATCTCACTTTAATGGGAAAGAGGTGGAAGTCAGGAAACAGAGCTGAGTTCTGTCCATGCTATACTTCTGAGGCTTTTTCTTTTCTTGCAGATAGTGTAGAAGATGAATTTGAACTCTCTACTGTTTGTCACCGGCCTGAGGGCCTGGACCAGCTACAGGAGCAAAGCAAATTCACCCGAAAGGAGCTGCAGGTGTTGTACCGGGGCTTCAAGAATGTGAGTTAGAAAGGTCCTGCCCTTTCTGTTGGCACACTCACGTGCTTGTGTAGCTTTACTGTTTCTCTTCTCTTTGCGGCTTTTTAAAAATGAGAAGTACACAGTTTGGGCCAAGGAAAAAAGGAAGGAGAAATCATTTGTTTCCGTCTTGCTAGAAAAAGTACATTTACAAACATCCATTCACTAGAGACCCAATTTTTCCCTACACCTTTTCTCACATGTAATTTACCTATTCAAAGCCCCAAAAGCCTCTTTTGTGACTACAGATAGACACTAGCACCAAGAGACTTTTCAGTTTAAGACCAAATTCTGAAGCGGCTTCCTTTCCCTCGGGACCAACAATGGAATACCACACTGTTCATGTGGGTAGATCTGAAAACCTCTCTTTCATACATTTTCCACTGAGTCCTTTACCTAACAGTAAACACCACTAGTTCTCATAAAATGGATCTGTTTCCATTTCCATCTGGGGGTGCAATGATGGTTTGAGTAGGGGTTGTCATTGAGCCATCCATGGGAAGAAAAATCATGTACAGTTCACAACCTAACAACAAATCATTGGTTCTCTTCATGAGTCATTTTAGACAACAAACCATGGCTTGTAAGCAC